CTCCCACATAGTAGACCGCGGTTCGCATCCTGGACCCGGTGGCCTAAAACTCAGGCCGGGCGCGTGTGCGTGCGTGCCCAAGATCCCGAGAGGAGAATGGAGGAGAAGGGATTGCGGCGTGGCCATCCCCCCTGGAGGGTGATTTCTCCCTTTCTGTCTCTCTGTCTCTCTCTGTCTTTCTGGTGAGCGCACACGACCTAGAGCAAAAACCTCTCCAAAAAAGAAACAAGAATCTTTTAAAAACTTTCATCTATGTCTTTGTTTTTTAGTTGATGAACAAAGATTCTAATATCATGTACAACATGATTTTTTGAAATAAGTATACATGTAGAATAGCTAAATAGAGCTAATTATCATATGCATTATCTTACATTTTTGCCATTATTTTGGTAATGAGAGCATTTAAATGTACTCATAGTGATTTTCAGTAAGAAATCTTAAAATAATGTATATCATTGAAAACCCCACATCAGCTGGTGGTATGGTGATTAAAGTGACTAGATCCCAAATGGCTGGCTGCCTGGTCCGTGTCCTGGACTTGGCCTCTTGAAAAACGTGCCAGGTACATACATGTGTGTGTGCCTAACATTCTGAAAGGAGAAATGGAGAACAAGGGATTATTGCCTAGCCAGCCCCTACTAGGGGGATGCCTGCTCACTTTCTTCCTGTTTCTTTCTCCAGTGAGCACATGTGTTTTAAACCACATTAAAAAGAAAAGAAAAGAAAAGAAAAAATCTAAAACACCCTCTCCTGCTTGGTCTTGCGATATTTCCCATTGAATGTTTGGGTATTGATAGTGTCCTCCAGGGCCAGCAGGTGGCATGGTGGTTAAAGGTGCTGGATTCCCACATGGCCGACTGTGGTTCAAGTCCTGGACCTGGCAGCTTGCTTTCTCATTCCCTCTCTCTTTTTCCCTCCCGTCCTCCTTTTCTGGTCAAATTGAAATAAACAATGAATAAATAAGTAAAGTTAAATAAAATAATTATTTTAAAAAAATAGTGTCCTTCTACCGTGACTGAATAGGAACTTTGAAGGCTCCCAGTTAGAGAGCAGACACCACTATCTCTATACTTTTTGTTTTGCTTTTAAGTTTATTTGTTTCATTTTTGTTGTATATATTTACTTCCACAATGATATGATATTAAGAAATGATTAATGCTTTAAACAGTAATTATCTGTAAGGAAAAGGAATACTCTTGTATTTCCCAGTTTTAGTACTCTTCATTTATGAAACTCCATTTCTGTCTGGTATCATGTGATTTACTTGGGCTTAAAGGACTATTTAAAAGTGTTTCTTGTGTAGGTCCCCTGATGACTAACTCTTAGCATTTTGTCATCTGAAAATAGCTTTCTTTCACCTGTTTTAAAGAATATTGGATGTAGAATTTTGGGACTAAAGTGCTTTTTCCCCCCTTCCTTTCATTGCTTTGAAAATATCCTTCCATTGTCTTTGGAACCTTTGTTGATTTTGATAAGAAATTAGTCTCCCTATATGTCATGTGCAGTTTTCTGTCTGTTTTCAAGATTATTTTTATTTTTGGTTTTTGGTAGTTTGACTGTGATTTCCCTAACACAAATATAAACTCTTTGTATTTATTTCTCGCTTGTGAAGATTGTGGACTATCTTTTTGTAGGCTGATGTTTTTCATGAAGTTTAGAAATTTTCAGCTATTATTTCTTCAAATATGCCTTCTCCTCTATATGTTCAGTTTAATAGAACTCTAGCAGCTATTTATAGTCATTTTGAAGTCTTCTAATTCAAATATCAAGGTCTTTTTGGAATTTGTTTCCTTCGACAGCTGTGTTTCCTGGTTATGGGTCACATTTATTGCTTCTTTGCATGCTTGATAATCTTCAGTTGCATGGTGGATGTTGTAAATTCAACATTGTTGAGTCTGTTATTCTTAGTCCTTTCTAGGCTTGATTTAGGTTTTAGTTGGGCCAATCTAGAGTAGCCTTTAGGCTGTGGTTTTCACTTTTAAGTCTCGGTCTTTGTGATATTTCCCGTTGAATGTTTGGGATATTAATAATGTCCTTCTACCATGACTAGATAGGGACGTTTTTTTTTTGAGAGATTTTTCACTGTACAGCGCGTGCGCTCGCCAGACAGACAGAGAGAGACATAGAGACAGAAAGCGAGAAATCACCCCCCCGGGGGATGGTCACGCCGCAATCCCTTCTCCTCCATTCTCCTCTCGAGATCTTGGGCACGCACGCACACGCGCCCGGCATGAGTTTTAAGCCACCGGGTCCGGGACACGAACCGTGGTCGACTACGTGGGAGTCCAGCGACATAGCCATTACACTAACTGCTGGTTCCCTAGATAGGGACTTTGAAGGCTCCCAGTTCTCTATATTTTTTGTTTTGTTTTTAAGTTTATTTCTTTTTTTTTTGGAGAGGTTTTTGCTGTAGGGCGCATGTGCTCGCCAGACAGGGAGAGACAGAGAGACAGAAAGCGAGAAATCACCCCCCGGGGGGGATGGCCATGCCGCAATCCCTTCTCCATTCTCCTCTTGGAATCTTGGGCTCCCACGCCCCTGGCGTGAGTTTAAGCCACTGGATCCGGGACTTGAGCTGCGGTCGACTACATGGGAGTCCAGTGACATAGCCAGTACCCTAACTGCTGGTCCCAAGTTTGTTTATTTTATGATTCAGTGAGTGAGTGAAAGATGGACAGACAGCACGCCTAAACCACTCGAGGGTTTTGCTGTGGTGATCCATCCCCACCCAACCTGAGCCAACCCCAGATCATGGGCACATGGCAGCCCGGTGTACTCAGGGAAATCTTCAGAAATCTGGAAACTTCCCATGTGTATCAGTCTCCCGTAGCTTTGCATTTTCCTGCTATGCTACTGTCTACCTCCACACCCCCTTTTCCACTTAATCCTGAGGTAGTCATTGTCAGCTAGATGTTCGAGAATGTTCTTGTACACAAATATAGCCCTGCCACCCTTGTACCCCTCTAAAATTACCTTCCTTTTGGCGCCATTCACTTGAACGCCCAGACCTGTGATCACTCTGTGCTGCCTGAATCTCATCACCTTGTCCTGTGGTCAGCACGTTATCCAGACCAGAGAGCTCTGGTGAAGGCAGAACTCATCTCGTGTGTTCTTTCTTAGGGATCACAGTCTTCACTGGCTATTAGCTGATGCCTGAAAACAGGTGCTTCAAATGTGTTGTCCCGTTGTATAGTTGTTTATGGCATGAGGGTAACGTCTAGTTATTTGATTATGATCAGAAGCAGAGGTCCCATTCAGTTTTACATCCAGTGAACAGGTACACAGTTTCAACTGCAAGTTAAAGAGTATGTAAAATAGGGCCAGCAGATGGTGTGGTGGTTAAGATGCTGGACACTCCCACATGGCTGACCACGGTTCAAGTCCTGGACCTGGTGGCTTGCTTTCTCACTTTCTCTCTCTCTCTCTCTCTCTCTCTGTCTCCCTCTGGTCAAGTTAAAAAATAAATGAATGAATAAATAAAATAAAATAATTCTTTTTTAAAAAAAGAGTATGTAAAATAAAACAAGAAACTATAAATAGATCAGATGTGAGGACTAAATGCACATTTGGGAGTCTAGTAAGAAAATACTGCTTGTGTGAACCCTTACTATGGTTACATTATATAATCAAGCAGAAATAGGAATAAGTCCTTGATATTGGTCCTAGTTTCTTCATTAGTGACTGTGTTCTGAAGTCAGAGCTTACTTAATGGCAGAAAATAAGACCCACTTAAATTGTTCAGACAAAAGTAGGGAGATATGTAAGGTTGCTTTACCACAGAATTGAGGTTTGATGGCTAAAATTCTTTTTTTTTTTTGAGAGGTTTTTGCTATAGGGCGCGCGCTCGCCAGACAGGCAGACAGACAGAAAGAAAGCGAGAAATCACCCCCCAGGGGGGATGGCCACGCTGCAATCCCTTCTCCTCCATTCTCTCGGGATCCTGGGCATGCCCGCTCACGCACCCGGCGTGAGTTTAAGCCACTGGGTCCGGGACTCGAACTGCGGTCGACTACATGGGAGTCCAGCGACATAGCCATTATGCTAACTGCTGGTCCCATGATGGCTAAAATTCTTAAAGGAGATGAATAGGGTGTGCTTTTCTAAAAGCCTTGAAAAAAATTTTTTAAAGTATTATTTTTTATTTAACTTTGTTTATTATTATTATTGTTTTTCACAATGAACAGAGACAGAGAGAGAGGGAAAGTGAGAAAGCAAGCCACCTGGGACTTGAACCGTGGTCTGCCATGTGGGAGTCCAGCACCTTTATCCACCATGTCACCTGCTGGCCCGAGCCTTGAAAATTTTTTGAGCTTTAGTATTTTCATCTGTATATTAGGAAATTTGTAATCCAACTTTTCCACCTTGTAATGTTGGTGTTTGTCAACCTTTCTTAGCCTTATGAACTTATATTTAAAAAAAAATTCAGTGTAAATGTTATAGAAGAATTGTTTTTCGTGGGGGCTAGTAAGAATATGCTTTGTGTTACCAGTTCTGTGTTCCATTCACATCTATATATGAGTGAACATTTGAATGAATGAACATTAAGTGAGTTTGCATATTTGAAAAGATTGAAAATTATTAGGTATATGAACATGAAGAAGATATTTTTATTAATATATTTTATGAATTTTCAAAATGTATTGCCTTTTTCTGCTTTTAAATGGAAGATTTTATAATGACTTATTTGAATTTTTTCTACTTGAGATGATTTTAAGTTGCAAAGTCTAGGTCAATGAATGTTTATTGGTTTATGGAGCAATAACAATGATTCCTTTCAAATTTTATTAATAAGTAAATACTTGATTTGTTTGTTTTGGTGATCTTTTTTGGTATTAAAGTGTAGAAATAAAAGTAATGATTAGTTTGAGAGTTCAGTGAGGTTTGATTTCAGTGGGCAGGGACAAATCGCAATACTTCACTACCTAAACTATTGTTATGTTAATTTCTTCTACATAGTTTTAAATCTCTTAGTTGACTTATTTCTTTTTTTAATATTCTAGTTCTCTATCGAAATCAGCTCACATCATTGAAAGATCATTTTGAAGACATGTCTTGCTGAAAAGACAACAGAGAAAACTTTTACGAATGGGATGAACACGCTTCAACTTCCTGACTACCTACTGCAGTTTGAATGTTGACATTACCCAGTTGGCACAGTGACCTAGTGATGTACCTGTTTCCACAGTACCTTATTTCTGTGTGCTTGTCTTGATTAAAGAATTCAAAGTGGAGTACCGCAAACTTGATATGGATAATAAAAAGAAAGACAAGGACAAATCTGATGATAGAATGGCTCGGCCTAGTGGTCGATCGGGACACAACACTCGAGGAACTGGGTCTTCATCGTCTGGAGTTTTAATGGTTGGACCTAACTTCAGAGTTGGGAAAAAAATCGGGTGTGGCAATTTTGGAGAATTACGATTAGGTAAGACTCATTTTGTTTATTCCATTATTTTAGAAGCATTTAAAAAAATGTAAAATACATTTAGTGGAAATGACTTATTTATTTAACTGTTTAGTTGTTTCATTGTTGTAATTTTAGAGACTACAGATGTTGAACATTTCTTATGTATTTGTATTTTCTATTGCAAGGAATGTCCTAATATAAGATTATCTACTTTCTTTAGATTAACCATCCATAATATGAGAAAATAAGAAAGTGAATCTAGGAATGATATTTAGGCTACTTTTGTAGATTTGGAAACATTTAATAAGTGGTCATTTTCAGAGCTTAAATAAATATATATATGTATATATATATCTTTTTTTTTTGGAGAGTTTTTTGCTATAGGGCACGTGCACATGCCAGAAAGACAGAGACAGACAGAGAGACAGAAAGTGAGAAATCGCCCCCCAGGGTGATGGCCACGCTACAATCCCTTCTCCTCCATTCTCCTCTTGGGATCTTGGGCATGCATGCACACGTGTCTGGCGTGAGTTTAAGCCACTGGGTCCGGGACTCGAACCGCGGTCGACTACATGGGAGTCCAGTGATAGCCATTACACCAACTGCTGGTCCCAAGTCTAGGTAATATATTGAAACTATATAAAATTATGTAAGCTTACGTTATTATAATTTAATTTTTTCTTCCTTCTCCTCCTAATATGCTCCCACCCCCGCCCAAATGGGGATCAGGAACCTATATTCTTATCAGGGGACTCTTGAGTGTTATTATCAGGCCAGTTTGGGGAACATTGGTCTAATAAAACCTCCTGTCTCTACATTTAAGACAATTGGAACTTTGTGAGGGAAAGTTACTTGCCAGATGTCACACAGCAATTTAAGTAGACTCAGGATCAAAATCTAGGTCTTTGAACTCCTAGTGCAGTAGAGCCGTGACCGTCCCCATTGAAGAGAGACAGGAAGGGTAGCGTGCTGTGGAGGAATCAGTATTGAGGTGCTTTGAAGGCTCTGGCCCGTGGACCACCAAGACTGGAACTGTAGAAGTAAAAAAGGAAAATTTCTTCTTCACAGTTTCTCTTAGATCTCATGCTAACCCTGCACTAGAAATAAATAAAATTATATGTTTATTTACTTAACACCTACTGCTTTTCATCTTGTAAAACACCCTCGTTTGTAGTGCCTGCTTCATCTTAATAGTTTTAGGTAGTTAATGTATTACACATAGAATTTCTGAATGAAGCAAGCCAATAAAAAACATTGACATACTTTGTACATAGCCGTAACATGATGTGGCCAGGAGACCCTTTTGCCCTTAGGAGGGACTTCCACATTTGAAAGCGTGGATGCTTTATATTTTACCTTTTGAAGGATATTGTGTTAGAGAGTTTGAAATTCTTGAGCCGTTTCTGACACTGGAGTTCGAGATACCAGATTATTTGCTTGCTGTGTAACTTTGGGCAGCATCCATCCAGTACTTAGGTGTGTGTGTTACGTACCAGGCCCGATTAACCACTGTGTGTGTTACGTACCAGGCCCGATTAACCACTGGAAAAAAAATAGAAAAGTGCTCCCTTGCCAACACGGAACCCACAGGTGGAATCACTCAGGACCTCAAATTCCTCAACTTTATAATTGGGAATATTCTACTTCCTAGGTCACTGTGAGGATTAAAATTTAGAAGGTAATGTAAAAAGAAAGTACTATCCCTACCTGTACTGCGGCCATTTTATTCAGAATTTGTTTCATAGAATTTACTTCAAAATAACTATACTGTGGGAACCAGCAGTTAGCGTAATGGCTATGTCGCTCGACTCCCACGTAGTCGACCGTGGTTCGTGTCCCAGACCCGGTAGCTTAAAACTCAAGCCGGGCGCGTGTGTGTGCGTGCCCAAGATCCCGAGAGGAGAATGGAGGAGAAGGGATTGCGGCGTGACCATCCCCCCTGGGGGGTGATTTCTCGCTTTCTGTCTCTAATGTCTCTCTCTGTCTGTCTGGCGAGCGCACGCGCCCTACAGTGAAAATCTCTCAAAAAAAAAAATTGAAAAAAAAAAAACTATACCTTTATTTATACATACACACAGATTATGCGGCTAGATGCATGTGCGTGTGTGCTTGTGCGTGTCGTCAGCCATGACCTGTGTAGACAAAAGCGGTGGCATAAAGAGCGAGTAGACTCTACCACAGAGCCGAGGAGCGTAGCAGGCTAGATAGTCTATTAGTAGATTTGTGCACGTGCTCTCTGTTTGCACAAGGACAGAGCGGCTTATTGCCTCCTCCTCAGCACATACGCATGAGCACAGTAAGTGCCATGTGACTGTGTGTATTTATGTGTGTGCATGTGTTTACCCACAGAACAAATCTAGTGGACCCTCCAACCAGAGCAGTATGAGAAACTGTGTAAGTGGGATCTTCAAAAAGGTCACGGAAAATGTATTATGCCAAAACTGTGCATGGATTTCAGACTTTCTTTGCCCCAGATAAACTTGTATTTAATTCTATGTTTTCTTATGAACAATTTGAAGTTTCCCTATACTGAAAATATATATGATGTATACTGAAAAAGCAGTAAAAGATCCTTTCTTTTGTGGTCTGAGTAAACAGGAATAGGGGTAATATGACTTAGTACATCTGTCTGTCTGCCTGACTGTCAGTCTGTCGAGTCTGTTGGTGTAAATGTATATGTATATATACTTAACGTTTATTTATTTAAATCTGTTATCTATCTCTATATCTGTGTTTTATGAATATTTACAATATATGTAGTTGTGTATGAGACAGACACACTTATAGAGCCAATTTAATCATCGTATTTTTTCTTATTCAAAGAGTACTGAAGGGCCATGCTTTCTGCCTTTGTAAAGGCTCCAAGTAGTTTCTCTGTTCATAAAAAGCTGATTTGAATTCTTAAAGTACTCTCCTTAAAACCACATTATTAGACACATCTTAAACATTTATTTCCTGCCATTGAAATTTTTTGTGGTTAATATTGATAGGAAAGAATTTAAGATACATATGTCACTTAGGGAAGTGGTTTTCAACAAAGATGTTATTGGCATTTGGACTGGACAGTTTTTTTGTTTTTTTTTGGTGGCAGGAGGGGTTTGCTGGGAGAATATTACGCCACAGATTGTGGGGCACTTAAAACTTCAGATTTCTGGGGGCACTAAATAGGAGTTAGAGTTGTATGCACAACTCAGCATATTCGTCTATGTTCAAATAGCCGAAGAACAGCACTACCCACCACTGAATCAACTCTTACAGAGAATTGTTTAATAAGTATTTAAAATACTAGTTTTACATTATATTGTGAGGATTAAGCATAAAACATTAAATAAATGTTTATTGTTTAATTTCTTTTCCTTTTAAGGTTTTGTGATAGGGCATGTGTGCTTGCTGGTGAGACAGAGGGACAGAGATGGGAAAGTGAGAAATCACTCCAGGGGGCGGGTGGCCATGTCACAGTCCTGTTGCCTACAGTCCCTTCTCCTGCCTTCTCCTCTTGGGGTTTAGGACACACACATATCCACCATGATTTTCAAGTCACTGTGTCCAGCACTCTAACCCTGTTTGGCCATGTGGAAATCCAGCACTTTAACTACTATGCCAACTGCAGTCCCCGTTTGTTTGTTCGTTTGAAGTTGCCAGAGAGCATGCATGTGCGTGCAACTATGACAGGGCAAGAGAAGAGAGAGTAGAGAGGAAAGAGAGAGTAGAGTGTGGTCAATCCACTCTCTTTTATTCCTCCTTCCAATCGGGATTTTGGATGGGCGCACACACGGGTCCAGAGTGTTTCTCAAACCATGACCAACCATGAAAAATCTAGATCTCTTAACTGGAGCTACAGGATGGGCCCTGTGTTCTTTTATTTATTTATTTATTTATTTTTATTTTTAAAGGATGACTTGATGGGGCCAGCAGGTGGCATTGTGGTTAGGGCTCTGCAGTCCTACATGGTTGACTGTGGTTCATGTCCCAGACCTGGCAGCTTACTTTCTCACTTTCCCTTTCTTGCTCTCTGTCTCTTTCTGGTAGGCACATGTGCCCTGTAGCAAATTAAAATAATACTAGCAATAATAATAAAATTAAATAATTATTTTAGAATAAAGGGTGACATGATGTATTTGTGGCTTTATCTTTAGCGTTTGTGATAAGGCTTACAATCTGTATCGGTAGGTGTATTTCTAGATTAGCCAATCAACTAAAACCTCTGAGAATGTTTTTGATAGGCATTAAATGAGAACAAATATAGCTGCATGTAGAATTATATTTATTTGTTTATTTTTCTGTATTTCATGATGTTTACGACATTTAAAAAAACTTTTCTGGCAGGTAGACTGCCTTTCCTGGGGTGAGCCAGTTCTTAGAGATAGCAAAGGGTTCAGTTGGGAGCATGTCTTGATTAGTTTGCGTGTGAAATCTGTAGTCCTATCTCCTCTATCTGGACCACACACCCAGCAAGCATTTTCCTCCTGCCTCAGTCATCTTAGGGCCAGTGCCCAGCAACTGGAAACCAACCCTGTAGCTCCAGGGTCACTGGAGTTATTCATGGTCCTTCTTTCACTGCTTATTTTGCTCCTGTCGTCTGACACCTGATCAAAATCTGTAGCCCCTTGTAACCCTGAGTGGCATGCAGTGCCACTCTCCCTCTTGTCCTTGCAAATATAATAAACTCTGCCTTTCTGAGTTTCTCGTGTCCTCTTTTGGCTGCACCTGACTCCTGACTCACCATCAAAGCAAAGAACATAAACTATAGACATTATATATTGCTTTATAAATGACCATATCTGAAATAAGATACTGTCACTTTTAAATTGTTTATTTCTTCATAAGAGAGAGACAGAGTCTCAGGCACCCTTAGCAGATTCTTAATTTTTTTTTTGGAGAGATTTTTGCTACAGAAAGAGACAGAAAGTGAGAAATCACCCTCCGGGGGATGGTCACACCACAATCCCTTCTCCTCCGTTCTCCTTCTTTCCTTGGGAACACACATGCATGCACACGTGCCCAGTGTGAATTTGAAG